TTGATTTCAGAGAGGAAGGGAGAGGGAGAGAGAGCTAGGAACTTCAGTGATGAGAGAGAATCATTGATCGGCTGCTTCCTGCACACCCCACACTGGGGATAGAGCCCACAACCTGGGCATGTGCACTGACCGGGAATTGAACTGTGACCTCCTGGTTTATAAGTTGATGTTCAACCACTGAGCCACGCAGTACATGTTGAATGATATCTGAGACTTGGTGAGGTCATTAAGGGAGAGAGGGAGGGAGGATGGTTGCCAGAGAAGTCCAACATTTAAAGATAAAAAAAACAAAACAACAACAAAAAGAACCAATAACCAACACAGAAAAATGGAGACGAGACTAAAGCCAGAGTGATAGCAGGAAAGTGTGAAGACATGGAGGCCAAGTGGAGAAGTGTTTTGAGAAAGATGACGTATGAACTATGCCAAATGCTGCTGGTAGGTCTAGAAAGACGTGGATTAGGATTTGACATTGGCTTTACTCGTGACCTTGTCAACAGCAGTTGTTAATGGGCAGAACATTTCCTTTAGGTTATTTATGAGGAGGAGGGGAATGCTGCAAATGAAGATACTCTGACTTGGAAAGAGGTTAAGCATTTCCTCAAGGTTTACAGCTAATTAGAGAAGAGAAGTCCAACATTTAAAGATAAAAAAACAAAACAACAACAAAAAGAACCAACAACCAACACAGAAAAGTGGAGACGAGACTAAAGCCAGAGAGATGGCAGGAAAGTGTGAAGACATGGAGGCCAAGCGGAGAAGTGTTTTGAGAAAGATGACGTATGAACTATGCCAAATGCTGCTGGTAGGTCTAGAAAGACGTGGATTAGGATTTGACATTGGCTTTACTCGTGACCTTGTCAACAGCAGTTGTTAATGGGCAGAACATTTCCTTTAGGTTATTTATGAGGAGGAGGGGAATGCTGCAAATGAAGATACTCTGACTTGGAAAGAGGTTAAGCATTTCCTCAAGGTTTACAGCTAATCATGGGAAAGCATTATTGTCTCTGCTTCTGGGCAGTGTAAATTGTGAACAACGAGAAACTTCAGTGCTCACTTTAGAATTTTGATGGCCTTGTGAAGGGAAGAAGTAGGAATGATGGACGTGCAGTGAGGATAGTGGTAGGTGGGGGCATAAAGTTGAAGCTGCTCTCCCTGAAATGTAGGGGCTTAGTGGGCATAGTTTGCTTTTAGCTTAGTAATTCTTATTTATTTATTTATTTATTTATTTATTTTTACATATGTCTCCTTTCCACCCCTCCTTGACCCCTTCCAGCCCACCCACGCCCTCTGCCCCAGGCCCTCACCGCCCCATTGTTTACATGTGTCTCCTTTCCACCCCACCTTGACCCCTTCCAGCCCCCCCCACGCCCTCTGCCCCAGGCCCTCACCGCCCCATTGTCTGTGTCCTGTAGGCCATGCATATATGCATACATATCAGTACAAGGTTAAAGGGTGATTCTTGAAGTTGAGGCAGGTTGGTGATAAGAAGAGTTCAGACATCCTAATAGCAGATGCAGGAATTTTAAACATGATTCATTTTGCCTAAAAATCTATGAATCTTTTAAAAATCTCTGATTTATTTTTGACCAGATAGCTCTACAGAGCTTCAAAACCTGACTTCCATGTGCTCAGGGCTGGCTTAGCAATAAGAAATAAGCGTAGTCTTCTGTTGCCATCTGCTCATTCCACATGTCCTTTAGAAACAATACTGGAATTTCCTTTTACAAAATCAGTCCTAAAATGTCAAGTTCATTGGGAGTAGATTTCTTGCCACCTAAATAAGAAAGTATAATCTTGTCAATTTAGTGACAAGTTTCATGTTCAGAAGGTTGTGTCCCTCACAACTCTTTAATTCCAGAAACCCTTGTTTTTAGGAAGCACCTCAGTAATTTCTTTAGGACATTTTATGACCTAGTTGTGTCATTGCATTCTAATAAACAGTTTTCATGACCTGATTCCATTTTCTCCAAGTCTTCAATAAAATGGTAGCAAGAGCACCAGCTAGCCCTGCTGGCGTGACTTAGTGGTTGAGCGTTGCCCTATGAACCAGAACGTTGTAGGTCCGATTCTCAGTCAGGGCACATGCCTGGGTTGTGGGCTCCATCCCCAGTAGGAAGCGTGCAGTACACAGCCGATTGATGGTTATCTCTCATCATTGATGCTTTTCTCTCTCTCCCTTCCATAAAAATATGTTTTTTAAAAAAGCAAAAGCTCAAAGAAAATTTGTAATCTTAATGATCATTTCCTTCATCACATCATACTGTGAATTTGACTTGAACACTCTTTTTTTTTATATAAGTACATTTTTATTGATTTCAGAGAGGAAGGGAGAGGGAGAGAGAGAGAGAGAAACATCAATGATGAGAGAGAATCATTATCAGCTGCCTCCTGCAAGCCCCTACTGGGGACGGAGCCTGCAACGAGGCATGTGCCCTTGACTGGAATCAAACCCGGGACCCTTCAGTTTGCAGGCCCACGCTCTCTCCATTGAGCCAAACCAGCTAGGGCTTGAACACACTCTTTTGACAAATGATGTTGGAATGTTCTCTTGAGAGTTTGAATAAATGTTTAAAATAGTTTTTTTCTTCTTTCATTGCAGCTACGGCAAATATATTTAGCTGTGTAGTGTGTAGTCCCTGCTTCTCATATTCCCTGTTGGTAGACGGGTAGTATAGGTCCACTCTTCTTTTTTTAAAAAATATATTTTATTGATTTTTTACAGAGAGGAAGGGAGAGAGATAGAGAGAGTTAGAAACATCGACGAGAGAGAAACATAGATCAGCTGCCTCTTGCACATCCCGATGTGCTCGCAACCAAGGTACATGCCCTTGACCAGAATCGAACCTGGGACCCTTTAGTCCGCAGGCCGACGCTCTATCCACCGAGCCAAATCAGCGAGGGCGGTCCACTCTTCTTCATGTGTGGCCGTTCTCATGAGGGAGAATTTGAATTTGTTTTTGTCTGTAAGTCTCAGGAGGCTTGCCTAGGACACAGGAAATACACAGACCAAGACGATATTGACTCTCCTATAAAAATGCCTGTGTTCTGGGATAGAAATGCATCTTGATTTTGCATTTGAGAGTTAGAAAAGCAATATCGAGAAATTAACATTGATCCGATGCTAGATTTTTCAAATGTCATCTTAACTGTTTTATAACTTTTAAAAATTGCATAGGATACCAGTATCACATGGGATAGTGCAGAACAGGGTAGGCTTATCAGAGTATCACTCCATAGGCTGGTGATAGTTTTACAGGGGAACAAACAGCGATGGTGGAATAGCTGGTAGTCATGACCTTAAGCAAGTGGTGTAGGACCGTGTGACATTAGCATGCCTGCTGTGGTGATGCAGTGTGATGTGTGAATCATCTATGAAATATTCTTGCCAAAAATGTTTCACCTGAACCTACTGACGCCTTTAGATCCTACTTCCACTATAGCTATGTATAGATACATATATAGCCTCCCCCCCTTTTAAAAATATATTTTTATTGGTTTTTAGAGAGAGAGCGGGGAAAGGAGAGGGAGAGGGAGAGGGAGGGAGGGAGGGAGGAAGGGAGAAATAGAGAGAAACATCGATGTGAGAGATCAGCTGCCTCCCTCATGCACCCCAACAGGTGATGGAACCCTAACCTGGGTGTGTGCCCTGATTGGGAATCAAACCAGCAACCATTCAGTACGCAGGATGACTCTCAACTAACTTAGTCACACCAGCCAGGTTCTCCCCCACCTTTTCCACCCAAAATGGGAATGTATTTTACACACTGTACTGCACCTTTCTCTCCCACTATGTATTTTGGAGATCATTTCATATCTTACAGAGCAGTTTTCCGTTGTAAGGCTCTGTCATAATTTATTTTACCAATCCCTGATTGATGGACATGAAAGTTCTTTTCATGTACCTTTTAACAATTAGGGAAATTTTCAAACATATAAAAATATGTAGTGAATATTCTTGTACTAAAAAAGCTTTATCATTTATTTTTACAGTTTGGATTCCCTGGTGAGCAGACTGTGAGATGGAGATTAGTACTCAGGTTTATTGGGTTGTGCTCTTAATATCAAGACCAGGGAAAGGAAGGAAAGGAGGCAGGTTTGGCTTGAAAGAGAAGGTGAGCTGTGATGTCTCAGTGTATTTCAGTGGGCTCTGGGGGCAGTTCTTAGATGGAATGAATGACCCTTCCGGAGCTATCCTGAAGTGATATGAGGGGGCCTAGCTTTTATACCCCCCGAATTGACCAGGCATTGGGTGTGGGCTTTCCCACTGGAAGGTAGCAAGAGCTTGGGTAAGGCACCTCCCTTTGGCTGGGGCAGTCCTTCATGTCTATCACACTTATCCTGCTTCACCTTCATCTCTTCCAATACCTCTTACCCCCCGTTTCCCTCTGCCCTCCTCCAAGTGCCACTGAGCCCAGGCAGCGTATCATTTTATCCAGAAATACTACACTTCTACTTTCCTTTGAGTAATGTGTGTTAGTAAAATCTTGATCAGCCAGATCGACTAGGGAATAAAGTTTTCTGCTAAAAGGAATTTGTGGCAAATGAAGATAATATAGAATCGTGACAAATATTTATTCATTAGCAATCAGGAGGTCTGCATATGCCTCTGAGCTCTGAGATCAGTTTCCAGTGTGATCTTGAGAGAGTTGCTAATGGATCTAAATAGCCACCAAAATAAATATCTCTAAGATGATAATGAGCTATACGCTCTCCGTTACTAGGTTCGGAGGTGGTATTATTTTTTATCAATTACAAAAGCCTTTCTTTTAACACAACTGCTTAAATGTAAAAAGAGAAGCAAAACAGCAGGAGGTAGACCCATATTTCACCAACTTTTGCAATGACTTGGCTTACTGATACAGGCAAAGGGTGATTGAATTTTTGCCGTTCATGTGGAGCACCTTTTGTTGAATTCTCTGGTGCCATTTTATGAAAATATATCCTGAGTTGTCACCCCTATGAGACTAGATTATGCCTCTGTTCTTCTTCTGACTCATTTATGTTCTCACTTTCCTTCCTCCTTCCCCTCATGCTTGCTTCCTCTCTCTCTTCTTATTACTCTGGGTAGTAATAGTCAGATTGGAAACACTTGACCAGTTTCCCACTGCTGTCAGGTTGAACTCCAAATTCTTTAGGATGGCTTACCAAGTTCTTTGCAGTTGGTGCATGCTGACCTGTGGGTTCCTGTCTTGTCATTCTGCCGTTTCCCCCAAATGCCCGCCCTACTAGTTTCACTGTGCAGAAAGAACTGAGATGTCTTACCTCTGGGACCTAGAACATGTGATTCTGTGTGCCTCTTCCTGGGTTAGTTCCTACTCATTCTCACACACCATTTCTTTCAAGACTCCTTTCTGGACCCATTGGAGTCAGGTTAGGATGTTCATCTTTTATGGCTTTACCTATGACTTGATGGTCTTGAGATTTCTCCTGTATCACACTCTGTGGTAATTGTTTGCATGTGTGTAAACTCTACTGGATGGTTGAATTGTGTTTGTTTTATCTACATTGTAATACCATGGTATAGGCACAAAATGGACACTTGGAAAATCTGCTCCAAAATGTATAGTGATGATTGTTATTATGAAATCAGAATTTAATTAGAAAGCTATCTTAGTATTGGGAAGGGAGTTTGTAGTGTTATTTTTGATGAAGTGATACAGAACTGAGTGATCATATGTGGAGATAATAGAATTGTGTTTGACAAACATACACAGTGGTGCTTTTCTATTGTGGCAGAAAGTCAATGAAAGATATTAACTTGCTGAAAAGTCCAACTTTATTAAATATTAAGTTGCAACGCTGGGAGAAACTAGTAGATATGGAAGCAGAATGTGAAGTAGCAAGATCTATGTGTTTTTAAAATTAATATTTACTGAGTGTCTGCCATGTGCTGGGTATTTTACTAGCTGCTTTACATGTTTGGTTTCTTTTCATCTTTATGACAGCTTTCTGAAAGGAGGGTGTTATTGTCCATCTTTTACAGATGGGGACGCTGAGACCCAGAGGGATAACTTTTTCAAGATTGCACAGAAGGGCCAGGACTTGAGTGCAGTTCTTCTGATTGTGACTTCAGTGTTTTTTCAATTGTTACTTTAAAAAAATACATTTTTATTGATTTCAGAAAGGAAGGGAGAGGGAGAGAGAGAAAGAAACATCAATGATGAGAGAGAATCATTGATTGGCTGCCTCCTGCATGCCCCTCACAGAGGATTGAGCCCGCAACCTGGGCATGTGCCCTGACCAGGAATTGAACTGTGACCTTCTGGTTCAGAGGTGGACGCTCAACCACTGAACCACGTCAGCCAAGCTCAGTTGTTACTTTAATTGTTGTTGACTGAAGTGAAAAAGCCAAACATGCTACTTTGGCCTTAAATCCCTTTAAGACATATCCTTGGGTTTAGAATGCACTTTTGCCTTGGTGATATTTCATCAAATCTTGAGGAGCCAGGGCTCTCCAAACTGATCTATGAATTTGATGCAGCTCCAATTGTAATCGCAGCAGGATTTTCTACAGAAATTTACAAGCCGACTTCAAAATCTGTATAGAAATTAAGATGACCTAGGATATCGAAGGAATCTTGAAAATAAGAACTAGCATATTGCCACCTGGAAGAAAATGTCACTGTATTCCTTTGGTGTAAATTTCTTGAATTCTCTTATAAGCTAGGCAAGACTAGCGGTTATATACTGGACTTGTATAAAATGTGCGTATCAACCATCTAAGTCAAATTCATCTTTCACATGTGGGCTGACCATGGATACACTTTATTTATTAATTTTATTAATTTATGATTTTTTTAAAAAGTATATTTATTGATTTTTTTACAGAAAGGAAGGGAGAGGGATAGAGAGTTAGAAACATCAATGAGAGAGAAACATTTATCAGCTGCCTCCTGCACACTCCCTACTGGGGATGTACCCACAACCAAGGTATATGCCCTTGACTGGAATTGAACCTGGGACCCTTCAGTCTGCAGGCCGATGCTCTATCTACTGAGCCAAACCGGTTAGGGCGTGGATACACTTTAATTACCTTCAGCCAGAGTGAAGGGGCCTGGGCACAGGAGGATGGTGGTATTTGTTTCCCTGTCCTCTCCTCACCCCCAGCCAAGCTTTCCCTCTTACTTGTAGGGGCCTTAGGCTTTTTCCTTTACTGTAATTTCTTATTATTCTTCTTACCACTTCATTTACGCCACAGATATTTTTCTTACAAACTTTGGGTGTGTAATGTGTTTGAACATGCAGTTAGGAATATTGTACATTTATATGTAACAAAACTCAAACACCATGACCTTAAACAAGTAGAAAGTTTATTTGTCCTGTTAACAAAACATCTAGGGTCAGAGAAGTTTTTATCAAGGCCGAGCTCTCCTATTTTTTTAAAAATATATTTTATTGATTTTTACAGAGAGGGAGGGAGAGTGATAGATAGCTAGAAACATTGATGAGAGAGAAACATTGATCAGCTGCCTCCTGCACACCCCCTATGGGGATGTGCCCGCAACCAAGGAACATGCCCCCGACAGGAATCGAACCCGGGACCCTTCAGTCCGCAGGCCGATGCTCTATCCACGGAGCCAAACCGGTCAGGGCAAAGCTCTCCTGTTTTTGAACTCATGCAGCATCTTAGCAAGGATGCATCCTTTTCCGAGGAGAGATGGCACAGCCAGTGCCCAAATGTCCTCGACAGTTTTCTCTGCCTTCAACAGCATTCTCCAAAACCCATTCCCCACAGTCTGCCCCCAACTCGGATTTAATATCCTGTTGTCTAGGAGGTTTTAATATCAAGTTCTGAGACCTAGGAGCACAAATGCATTTCTCCACGTGAGTCCCGAGAACAAGACTCTCTGTTCCCCTCACTAGCCAGGACCTGAAACCTATTCTCCTCTGTCTTCCAATCCCATCTTCCAGGCCCTTTGGATTGATTATTATTTATTTAGAAGTTGTTTGTTTCTTCTGTATTTCACTGAAATTACCCTCATCCCAGCAGTCAGACATCAATATCAGCTACTGATTGTGATTTCTACTGCAGCTTCATTTCAGGTATCCTTTATGGTTATTTCTCTTTCAAATGTCTCACCTAACAGACACTTTCTATGTAGAGATCTTATTAAAGTATACCAGCCAAGAAACAGCATTGTGCATAGGACAGTATTAGTTTTTGCAATCTAATTTCCTTGGAAATACAGCCGTGAATTTTGGATTCTGGTCCCCCTTCTTCCCTCCCCCACCCCGCCACACAACATAAGGTGGTAACTCCTTACCTTGGTTGTACAGGACTTTTTACCTTAATCCTCAGATAACAGTTAGCTGTGATTCTTTGGAAAAGATATAGTTAAGTTTTCTACATTAGTTCCTTAGGGGGATTGCTTTTTGATAATTAAGTAATTTTAGGTTATGTTCTTTTAAAAGGATATATTCCTGTTATGGGTTGAATTGTTTTCCCCTAAAATCCACATGTTCTTTTGTTTGTTTTTTTAAATATATTTTTATTGATTTCAGAGAGGGAGAGAGCGATAGAAACATCAATGATGAGAGAGAATCATTGATCGGCTGCCTCCTTCGTGCCCCCTACTGGGGATCGGGCCCACAACCTGGGCATGTGCCCTTGACCAGAATTGAACCCAGGACCCTTCAGTCCCCAGGCTGATGCTCTATCCACTGAGCCAAACTGGCCAGGGCAGAATCTACATGTTGAAGTCCTATCCTTCAGTACCTCAGAATGTGACCTTTATAGAGATAATCAAGTTTAAATGAGGTCATCAGGTGGGTCCTAATTCAATATGATTCATATCCTTATAAAAAAGGGGGAATTTGGAGACATGAACACAGGGCGAATGCCAAATGAGCATGAAGGTGGCCTTCTACAAGTCAAGGAGAGAGGCCTGAAACAGATCCTCCATTCACAGCCCTCAGATGGAACCAACCCTACCTACACCTTGATTTTGGACTTCTAGCCTCAAGAACTGAGAGACAATAAATTCTGTTGTTTAAGCCACTCAGTTTGTGGTCACATCAGTTCTAGGAAACCAATCCAATCCCATATGAAGTTTCTTAATTGCCCGAATGAGATCTTTCAGATTCTGGTTAACTCTTAGTTCTTGATTTTATGTTTTTTCCCCCTAAATCTTTGTAATTATTTTAGCTTCTGGAAAAGCTGAGTTAGAGATTGATGTGTATTTTAATGATGTAAACTATACCTTTATCATGTTATGGAAGATTATTTTCATTGTTTTAAGGACCATGCAATGCATTTTTCGCCTGGGTCTCCTTGAGTTGCTTTGTCACTTGAATACCAGAATGTCCTTTCCTGTTGCATCAGAGCAGGCACATCTCTCTTAGCACACACATTCCTTAGTTCTGAATCTGTGTATTTGCATTCTCCTTAAGCCAGGCAGTGTGCATTGAATATGAGTCCTCAAATAGATAGAGAAATTGTGTTCTTTCAGATCTCACCATACTGCATTCGATGCTATGAGCTTGTTTAATTGAGAGAAATCTTTGGGTGCTGTAGTTTAAAATTGAGTGTTGTCACCATGGAAAAATGAACTCCTTCCAAATTCTCATTTTGAGAAAAATCATGGTTAGATATGTTATTCAGCCAGGAACATGCTGTACCAAGGTTATCAAATTGGTTCAGTGCTTTTTTAAAATTTTCTGATATCAAATAGGGATATGGAGATAATGGTTAGTGTCATGGTAGTTTATGAGATGGTGAATATGATACATATAGGGTTTTGTTAATAGAAATAAATTTGTAATGTTTTTCTTTAAATGTATACCTGATATAGCAAAAAGATGAAGTTTTGGGAGGAAAAAAAACTAATGAAAGCCATGTATTATAACAAAAAGTAAAAGATGTAATATAGATTGTTTTTAGTAAACATTCCAATGTCAATCATAATTTTTTACTTGCCTAATTTTCTAGTGACTTCATTTTATAAAGAGATTTTAGTTTTTGTTTAAGGTGTGTAGGTGGTAGTCTAAAGAAGAGACTTTTGCTAAAAGCAATTAGCAATGAGACAATGGCTATCAAACCAGTTTCTTTTATAGAAAGTACCTATTCCTTTGAGTACTCCTGAAAATTTCTTAGGACAGCCTTAGCATTCTAAAGAGTCTAGTTATATACGTATTTCTGTTGTCACTTAAAAATCTGAGGTAGAAAAAAATAACTACAGGGACATTTCTTTTCATTGACCATCTATCAGGCCTCTAGGTGACCCCCTATTGTCTTATGAGACCCGACAGTCTTCTGTTTTCTGTGGAGGCCTCTTTGATTATCCCAGTCTTCATTTCTCTCTAACTTCTCTGAACTAGTATTTAGGTTTTTAACCACACAGTTAATGACACTTAAATCTAGCACATTCCTTATATGTGTGTAAGAGGAGTATTCTAGTATACACTGGTTAGTTGGTAATTCATCTTAAAAATAAAACTTTTTATTATGCAGAAAGGAGTTTATTTATTTATTTTATTAATATATTTTATTGATTTTTCACAGAGAGGAAGGGAGAGAGATAGAGAGTTAGAAACATCGATGAGAGAGAAACATCGATCAGCTGCCTCCTGCACATCTCCTACTGGGGATGTGCCCGCAACCCAGGTACATGCCCTTGACCGGA